GCCCCCCGGGGGCGCGCGGCGGGGGCAGCGCGTGCGCCCATCTGGTTGCACTTAGGCGCCGGGAGGAAGCTAGCAGCGGGTGGTTACCGGCCGAGGGGTGTGGGAAAAGTTAATTGACTTTAATGACAGGTTCCCCGGGACAGCGGGGACGATGAGGGGGTCTGGTTAACCCCAGGGTCCCCGCCGCAGGAACGCGTGGGGTGAGGCGGGGCGCGCTTCGCACTGCTTGGCGAAGGCTGGGGTCCTGCGCGAGGAGACCCCCCAGCCCCCTTTCCGGGTCGGCCGGAAGCGCTGGAGACAGGGTGGGGTGGAGTAGGGTGGTCCCCAGCGTTTCACGGCGGAGGCTGGGGCTGAGCGGCCGGGTCTCATCTCCCCAGCAATCAGCACTGCCAGGCCGGGCTCGGAGGGACCCCAGGGGCCAAGAGTGAAGCGGTCTGTCCCCCCAGAAACTCCAGAAACAGCAGGACTTATGAGGGTCGTGTCTTCAAATTAACCCGCCCACCCTCGGGGCTTAGCAGTAGCACCGGGAAGGGGATGACGTATCTGCGGTGTCACAGTGAGTTCAGTGGTCTCGACTGGATCCCCCTGAATGTCCCCGTGGAACCCAAGGTCTCCTCCCTCAGCATATTGTACAAAAACAAATGCCTTTTGTAATCGTCGAAAACTACAGTTCAGAAGAACAGTTCTTTTTTAAACCACCGATTCTTTTTTTTTTTTTTTTTTCCAGTACCAGGAATCGAACTCACAACCTTGAGCTTGCCAGGCAGGCACTGTGCCGCTGAGCTAAATCCCCAGCCCCCTAAACCACCGATTCTTTACAGAAGAACAAACATGGACTTATTTTCCCTCTATGTATCGCCTCTCCCAAGAAGACGCTGTATCTATGTATTTTTTTGATGTTATAAATAAAAATGTACATTTTTCAGTATAGCAAAAAGACACAGAAATCTAGTTTTCCGTTGATATTATGATTGGGCTGTTTTGTTTGGGTTTTGCCCCTGTGAATTTCACAGCCCATCAGTGGAAAGCAAGGGCTTTCATAAAAAATGGAGACCCTGAGGTCTGCGTTATTTCTAACAGGACAGTTAAATCCCGGGAGCCAGAGGCCAGACTTACCTGATGAATCATGTGAATTTGGGATGGCTGTCTTAATAAGCAGCAATTATTATGTTTGCATTTTAACAAGAGGGAGAATGTGAGAAATGGTAGAAAAGGGTAGGTGTGTTTCTTTGGTGGAGGGTGTGTTGGCCACCTTTCATGTCCACAAAATAAGGCAAGTAGGGAGCCAGATTCAAACAAGTATTTTTTCTACCTCTCCCTCTGGGGCTGACGCGATTGGAGAGAAAACCGACTGCTGTCTTCGAGATCAGCCCCGTGATAGAGCCGCCCTCCTTGCTGGCCTGTGGGAAAGGGCCGAGCCAGGCGGGGGAGAGGTAAGGCTTTTGAAACAAGACAGAAAATCGTTGGCTTTATCTTTGTTAGGAAAGCTTCAAAGATTGATCTCTCCCGCCTCATCCTTCTCCCCCCAGAAGCCGCGCAGAGGCGGGGAGGAGGGGGGTGAGAGAGGCCGCCGGCGGGCGGGAGGGGCCGGGCCGGGCTGCGGTGGGGGAGCAGGGCGCGCCGGCCAGACCCACAACGCGGTTATGTGTCTGGTCTCGTAAGGCCCGTGGTTTTCATTTCCCCAACACCTGGATGCAGTCAAACACCTGGCCAAATCTGACAGAATCTGACAAGCCTTTGTGATGGGATTTGGAAGAAATTCCCTGCAGATCCTGGCACAGTTTAAAGCTGTCCGCTTTGAGTTAGGACTTGTTAAGGAGCGTTATGTGAGCTGAAACCCGAGACAGGCCTTTTGCTTCTATCTGGAGCCCACATCTTGCCTGGAAATGGGGCATGACCAAGCGAAGGGGTCGCTGGCTGTTTGTATTAAAAGGGGAAGACGGCTGTGCGCCTGACAGCGCAGCCCCCACATGCGTTCTCCATTAGCGCCAAGCACAGCAACTTATCAGAAACACATGTCTGGGCTTGGGCTCCACTTGGGAGTCTAACTAGCTGTCCCTTGGCAGAAGGAATCTGTTGACCTTTACAGCCTGAAGAGGGTAGAGGGGCATTTCCAACTTCTGCACACTGGCGCTAGGCAACGTCCCTAAGGTTGGGTTCATTTGGGAGGACCCCGCTCTTGAAGACAGGGGGCTGCAGCCGCCAGTATGAGCGGGTTTACTTTTGGGTTGGCTGGTGGCTATCGGGCAGATGCCCTTGGTGTGCAAAGGGCTGCAACACAGGATCCCCGCACTTCGGGAGGTCAGTCCTCAGGAGGAACTCACAGCACAAGGACTGATGACTTCACACCACTGTTTTGAAATCCTTTACAGAGTTATCAGGGAAACCCTATCAGATGAGTTCTCTTAAGTCAGACGGAACTCAGTTCAAGGGGAGTGTTGGTGAAAAATTCGGACTTTAAAAACCTTGTTTCAAGCCGGGCGTGGTGGCCCACGCCTGTAATCCCAGGACTTGGGAGGCTGAGGCAGGAGGATCGTTGCAAGTTCGAGATCAGCCTGGGCTACAAAGTGAGCTCAAGGCCAGCCTGAAGTGCATAGCGAGACCCTGTCTCAGAAAGATAAAAAAGGGCTGGGGGTACAGCTCAGTGGCATAAGCGCCTGCCTGGCAAATGCAAGGTCGTAAGTTTGATCCCTGGTACCGCAAAAAAAAAAAAAAAGACAAAAAAATAAAGAATAAACCTTGTTTCAACAAAAGAGCTGATTTTTAAATTCCCAGCTTAATATGCTTCGAACTCCACCAAGAGCCTCTTTTTAAATATTCTGAAAGAATCAGTTCTAAGACATAAAAGCCTTCACTCTTTTATTATATTTTCTGAAATAAACTTCCCCAAAGGAAGATATTTTAAGAGCATATCTCAAACATCTTTGGCATCACATAAAGAAATCTCGTGTAAAAAACGAAATGTCATCTCAATTTTTATAATACAAAGGCGCAATCCAATATGAACATATAAAATATATACAAATATAGTGCATGGTCAGTCACTTAATACAGCTCTCTACAAAAAAGTAACTCTTTTTAGGAATTAAAAAAACAACGAAGTAACCACTTGATCACAACTCATCTCTCCTAGTATCCATGCTGCAGTTTAGTGTCCGGAGGGGGGGTGGGTAGGGTGTTGGGGGAGCGCAGGCCGGAGCCCCTCAGTTCCGCCACGGCCTCCACATGGAGTCCGCCGTGAGCGCGGGGCCGCTGGAAGAAGATACGGCGCTGGGACCCACCGAGGTCCCACCGCTGCTGGTGTAGACCGGGATGACCGGGCCGCTGTGCGCAAACGCCCCGTTCGGGATGAGGAAGGCGAACTGGCCGTCGGGAGCCGGTACCACCTGGAAGCCGCCGAACACCTTGGCCGCCTCTCCAGCCTGGCTGCCCAGCTTGCAGGGAGCGCCGCCGGGAGGGGGCGCCGCGCCCCCGGGGATGGGCACGAGCGGCGGCGGCGCGAACGGCGCGTGCTGGGGGCCCCCGGCTCCCGGCGGGGGCGGCGGCGCCTGCAGGGCGGGGTGCGGCTGCCCAGGGTAGGTCATGGCGTTGATCTGGGTCATGCAGTTGGCCAGGTGGCCAAGCAGCCGGGTGCGCACCTCGGTGTTAACGCCCTCGCACGTGGACAGGAAGCGGGTCACCTCGTTCATGCACTCGCTGAAGCCGGCGCGGTACTTGCCCAGCACGCTCGGGTCGGTGCTCAGCGCGGCTGCGGGCCAGAACGAGACAGACGGGTCACCCAACGGCTCCGGCCCGGGGCCACCGTCTCCCGCCCTGGGAGGTCCCCGTGCCGCGCCTCCCTGACCACGCGCGCCCGCCGAACGACCTCGGGCGAGGAGGGCGGGGGAGGCTTAGAGCCATCTCGCCACACTGGCGTGGTCACCGAAGCCCAGACGCGCCTCCCCGTCCCCTGTGGCTGCATTTAAACCTATCTCTGCCCCACAGCTGTCACCCCCACTCCCCTGCGCGACGTGACCTTGAGCAACACCAGCCCACCCCCACTCGGGTCTCATTTCCCTTTTGCAGTGGGGGGATGGGCGAGGGCAACACCCGATGACCCCCGGGCTCCGTTCAGCTCCCAACTGCTACCGGCCTGTGCTCAATCCCTTCCTCCACAGCCAGGCGGCCCGCCGCCTTCGCGGCTTCGACCTTCTCTCCCTCCCTTTCCGAACAGTAACAACTTGGAGTTGTGGCTATAAATAAGACCCAGACCGTGGGAACGCAAGAGGGAGCCAAGGCAGTAAAATGGAGCTGAATGCCTCTCACAACCGCGGGCGGAAGTCTGGAAGGAATCAGCGCGCGGCGCGGGGGACGCGCGCGCGCAGGGAACGCGGCGGCGAGTGGCCTCACCCGTCATCTGCGCCCGCTGCAGGTTCCGGAGGTGCTTCACTGTCATCTCCAGAATGTCTGCCTTCTCCAGCTTGGAATGCCGGGAGCTCTGCACACAGGAGGAAGCCAGGAGAAAAGTCAGCCTCTGCCAGCCAGCTGCCTCGCAGAGCCGGGATCCCCCACCTGGGCCGCAGCGCCCAAGCCCGCGTCCAGGGACCCGGAGACAGGGGCCCCAGAGACAGGGGCCCCGGGCCTCCTGCCGACGGCAGCGCGGTGCAGGCGGGGGAAGACCCTCGCACCGTAGGCCAGGGGCTTTTACGCTTTGTGGCTAAGAAACGACATTTCATATTTTTAATTTTTTAAAAAAAGCATTCCCCACTTACATCTTTTTTAAGCGCATCCAAAATCAGTGTTTTCAGCTGGCTCAGGCTTTCGTTTATTCTTGCCCTTCGTCTTTTCTCCATGATAGGCTTTGATGACTGCAAAGAAATTTTTAAAATTAATAATAATAAAAAAAAAAGCCCGAGTTCCCATGGGATCTGCTATTGCACCCCTGGTTGTTAAGAAAGAAAGGACCCCTCCATCCTATCGTAATTTCTTTGGGGCTGCAGAGATACCCAGGTATTGCCCTTACCTTTCTGTGCTCTGACGCTGTCTTTGGTTTATCCGGTGTCGTGTTGACACTGGCGGGGGTAGCAGCCACCGGGGACGAGGAATTTTTCTCCATTATATCAGCTGGCATTTTCTTTCCCTTTTTTTTTGAACAGTCCCTAGAGAATTTTATTTTTGGAGTCCACGCAAAAATATATATATTTTTTGCTTATGTCCCTTTTCTTTGAGATTTTCGTAAAACTACTGCAAGTGCTGAGGGTGGGTTATATAATATTTTCTAGCTACTTGGTAGCGCTATTCCAGGACCAAGGAGAGAGGTAAACGGGGGATTCCGCTGTTATCAGCACCGGCTCCGGATCCTGTGTGATCCCCAGGCCCTGGCGGCCTCTATATATATCTGGGACTGCACGCGAACGGCTCGTGTGAAACTTCCCAAACTTTCTTTCCCACAGTAACTTTCAGCCAATGGGAGGAGGAGACACGCGGCACCGCTCGTGGACCGCGCCCCCCCATTGGCCGCCAGGCACAAGGTCTGGCGGCCAATGGCGCGCGCCTGAGCCCGGGGCACCGGAGGCTACAACGTCAATCAAAAGGATTTTAACCCTTTGCTACTCTCCCTTCTGGGCTTTGCTTTACAGAGGATTTTTCCGTTTTGGTTTTTGGTCTGGTTTATTTCTTTGGGGCCAAGGTCTTCATTCTTTTCGGTAGGTGCAGTACAGCTACTCTGTAATCACTTGAGATACAGTTTTAAGGGTATAACAGGAAAAAAAGACTGCAGTGATTAGGAGCAGGGGTGCACTCCTGCCAGGGTGTGTTACCGACACAGACGTGACTTCTCGCTCGGATTGTATACATTCGGGGGGGGTATGAGAGTGGTTCGTGCAGGGAAATATTTTATAAATTCCTTTTCGCAGCAAAAGAAATGCCTTCCACCTCTCCGTCTGCAAG